CGGAACACAACCAAGGTGACAAGCCAGTCGCTCAAACCATTGTTGCTGTTTCTGTTGTTGTTGTTGTTGTTGTTGTTGTTGTTGTTTATCCAGTAGCCCCTGAGTGCGAGCCCTTCGTCCCATGGTTTTAAAAAAAGGCGGAGGTCTTTGACATTAATTTTCTTTGCTGCAGTTTAGAGTGTTGTCAGTGGTAGGGACGGGAGGACGAAGTTGCCCCTCAGACTATTACAAGCCTGATGAGATGAACATTCAGAAAATAACTTAATGTGAACTCTGCTTTCTGCCATTCAACACTCGAGAAGATCCCGTCTGTATTGTCTGTCTGTCTGTCTGTCTTCCCCTTGAGACCACATGTCCTGCTGAAACTGGTGGGGATACCACGCCCACATTGCCACACAGTCCGGGTGTCACAACGTGGTCGAATCAGGCGCTCGTCAGTTTGGGGCATATATGAAGTCATTGGCATCATCTTGAAGCTTGTTCATTTGTCTTGCTTTCAATTTAAAAAATACATTCTACTTGGACAGAAGTCGAGGTTTGTGATTGACGGAGGTGGGAGTCGTGCGGTGTCAGAGGCGAAATAAACAAGAAATGAACACTAAAGTTTGGTTACTTCCAAAGATGCAGGGTCCTTGGAAACTGCAAATTTACATTTTTTTAAATACCTTTGGTCAATGCTTTTCAGTAAAAATGCACACCGAAATGTGTAATGTATTTAGATCTATATGGACAAAAAGGGTGTTGTGAGCAAAAAAAAAAACAACAACAAAAAAGAAAAGAAAAGAAAATGTCGATTTCTTCAATTTCTTTATTTTGACCAGCGCTTGATTCCACCGTGATCCCACACACATTATCATTATTTCAATACGTAGGGCCTACTGCCATAGTTGTCTTCAGGGGTAAGACATCACAGAACAGCGATTGACGGGTATAGCAAAGCCAGACTTGGCCTCTGAGGCTTTGGGCGCACTTATAGACCGGGGATTTCAGGATGATTAGACCCGTCTACTGGGCATTACTCTTGTCACGGGAACCGTCTCAGTCTCAGCTTCTTGCTCTGTGATCAAACTCGAATTGCCAAAATAAAATGGTTGTTTTTTTCTTCAACTGAGGATCGCGTTGGATGTATGATTTTACTCCTGGCCAACTGGTTATGTTTTTGTTTGTTTGTTTGTTTGTTTTGTTTTATTTTGTTTGTGTTTTTCTTTTTGTTGTTGTTTGTTCTTTTTGTTTTGTTTTTTGTTTTGTTGTTGTTGTAGGGGGGGTTGTTGTTGTTGTTTTGTTGTTTTTTTTTTGGGGGGGGGGGGT